AAGGGAGAGTGAAAAAACCACAATCCTTGATAATCGAGTTTGTGGTTTTGCGTGAACTTCCGACAGTGGCAGACGCGCCAGGCGCCTCTTAATCCCCCGGTGGTTCGAGTGCTCGATTCATTAACTAACATCTTGATCGTGAAACTTGGCTTCCGTTAGTTATCTCGTTATCAATAACAAAATTCTTCAAGATCTGTCACCGTTTTATTTATCTACAATTTGGGAACAAGTACTTTGATTTTTGTGGACATTTCGTTTACTGCGTGGACAGTATTTTTGATAGTCCGACGTAACTCTGAAAAAGGTTTATAATCGTAATAAAATAATTTTATTACACGCATTAAAACCAATGTCGTGTCTTCTGGTGCGATAACTTATCATTTGTGTTTTTTTCTTTTTCGAACCACTAGAAATGATAGAAACTCTAAAGTCAAGTGCATTCTTATTATCAATTGCTGCTGAGTATTTGAAAAAAGAAAATATTGAAGCAATTAATTGAATTCCCAGTGTATCAGCATTTTTAAGAAAACGGGGGAAATTCAGCAAATTATTGAAAGAAAATGATTATTTTACACAGTCTGTTACAAAGACCTTGATATTTTGCTTCGAAGTTGTCGATACAATGTGTAGTAGTTGACACGAAGTGGCAAAATGTCAAAGCAAGATATAAATGAAAGATTGAGAAATGTTGAACTTTAAAACATCTATCGCGCATTAATTATCACATTTTCTGACTCATATTCAACCGATTTTTTTTATAATTTCATCATTGCGTTGGTGGTTTAAGTGAAGCAGTACTTATGAAAAGTGCAGTATACATTCACTACCTCAACGGAAAGTTCATTGCAGACGTGGGAAACCAATGTCGTCTAACCCAACGTGATAACTTATCAATGGTTTTTTTGCTTTTAAACTACTACGAGTCGTAGAATCTCTAAAGCCAAATGTACACTTAGTAGTAATTACTCGCAAGACGTGACGTAGAAATCATGAGATGCTGATAAATAGTTATTTAATAAATAGTTATTGCACTATATTCCGAGACCCGCTCCTGCATTCGGGCCCAAAAAAAACATTCACATCTTGTCTGACATCTCTGCTATGAAGTCTGATTTTAAACTCTCGAAGTAGAGTTCCAGAAAAGGAACCACAGTTCGACACATCTCATACGTTAATCTAGACTGATATTCGTATTCAACGAATTCATATTTTGAGAAAATTATTTACTAGTCTGCTGTTTGCATATCACTTATCAATTGATTCGATGTGTCTAGTTTATTGTCTAGATTTATTTTGAGAAGTAGAAGTTGAGGGTCCACGATCTCTCATATAACCACGGTAGAATTTACCTTGAATCCACGGAAAAACGTCGGGTATATCCACGGTCAAAGTTACCGTGGAGCGTGTAAATAGACACTGCCAAACCTAAGGTATCACGAGATATCGATGTACACCACGGAAGGCGGTGGTTTTATATGTTCGAATTTTGATGTATTATTGTTGAAAAGAGAAGAAAATTGGAGGAATTATGTAATGCAACTATAGGCATGTCACAAATTTATGTTAATAAAATCAAATTTACGTTAATGAAATCTGAGTTGAGTGACGAAAGTTCGAATGTTAGAGATGAGTAAATGATTTACGAACATTGAACCCCAAACAAACGGCGTCTCCTCGACATTCATTATCTATTATCTATGCAATATTTTTTGAAAATCGAAGTATATCAAATAATTCATTGTAAGTATTAAAAGCCAATGTAATGTCATCCATCAGGATAACATATCAATTGGTTTTTCTTTTCTCTACTTACTATGAGTGACAGAACATTTAGTAGCACTTTTGTCAGCAATTGCTCACAATCTAAGGGACGATCAGATATACCGATGTATTGGAATTTTTATGTACTAGTGTCAGAGGGGGAGGAAAATTTGGTGAATGATTCAATGGAAATCGCAGGCGTGTTACAAAGTCCTTGATACCCCACCTCAAAGAAACCTCAGCGAAATGTATGGTAATCAAGTTGAAGTGGCAAAATGTCACAGTAGTAGATATATAAATGATTTAGAATCATTGAACTTTACAACAACTGCTCTTATTCCGGACGTAGTTCATTGTTTTTTCATGTAAACAGAGTGTTATTGTGATAGTACGATCACCCCACTTTTTCCTCGACACACGTGTACGCGTAGTGAGAACGCAGGTGGGGAGGGTGGATAAGAGGAGAAATGGCGGGGAGCGATGACTTCCGTGTCGAAATTACATTCTCGGGAGCCTTCGGCAAAGCAAACAACAAACACCGAGTGGAATTGCGGAAAAGCCAAATTACTTTTTTTCCACTACTGTAACGATTTTTTTTTATTAATTCAATGGTAACGATTGTCCTTGCCAAAATACTAAAAGTGATTTATTGACTATTTATTATCACCTACAATTTAAATGTCGAACCTACAATGTCACAACTTTGTACTGTACGTGGAAATGAATTTTCATAGTGATTACGCTTTCGTGTGAACACGTTTGCTTTCGTCATGGACATTATGGACATTATTTTGCAAGGTGTTTCGTTCACATATGATTTCACGTTTCTACGTCACATGAGAACAATGGAAAAACATGACAAGCATGCTTTTTTCTTCCGCAATGTTTTCGATACCCAAAAAGTATTTTACACTGTTGGAAATTTTGTGAAATTTCATGGAAGATATTATAGTAATTCTCGTGAGAGTGACATTGAATTGGATTTAGGGGAAAATGGTTAATGAAATTTCACGTTTTAGGTAGAATTTAAGGAACATAAATTCAATGGGATATGAATATTCAGAAACAATATGACATGAATGTTCAATTTATCCCCGAATTTTCACGTAATAATCGAACTGAAAAATCAAGCATTTTATTGATTTCCACATCATTTGAACGGAAAGTCAATGAAATATTCGATTGTTCAATGACAATATTTCATGAAATTTCAGTGGAAATTGACCACTATAAAAATTTTCGCGATGTCGCCCCGAAAATTCAGACGAAAATTATTAACAGTATAACCGACTTCAAAGAACGACGAAAATCATGAAAAATGCACCCGGGAATGCAAATACTCCCACCCAAGAATGTCCTATGAATCATATCTCCACGCGATTCCAACAAATCTCACGTTCTCCAAGATTACCCAGAAAAAGCATTCGATCATGAATGAAATAAGCGAAATGATAAAACCCCATCTATTCGCCGAACAATTTTATTTGCCAATGATTCTCCGAAAGCCGCTGAATCACAAGCTCTCCTACTAAAACTATACATTGAAAATTCGCAGGACTTGGAGTGAATTTAACCGAGAATACTGAAACCCTGTCTTGAGAATAAAGATGCATTCATCTGTGTCGTGGCAGGTCGTGAGGCCGCGCTCTGTCGCGTTCCGCATCTGGTCATTGACTGCACAAAAATACCCTGTAGTCTACGGCTCTCCCCCCCCCCCCCCCC